CCGCCTGACTAGGTCCATGCCCCTCCCCCACTGAGCTCGCAGGGGGAGGGGATCGGTGGGGAGGCCTAGTGGCTGGCCCAAAAAAACCCGGCCCTGGTGCCACTGGATGGTCCACCCCCTTTTTCCCAGACCTCACCACCCCTTCAATTTTCTCGGGAGACAGCCCCGTTCCGGTTTCTCATAGCAAGCTGCAGAGCCAAGAACGCACGCCTGCTATGTGCCCACGCGCGGGGCTAGGGAAAACGGTCCGACGCTGACCTGTTGCGGTAGTAACAAATATTCAAATAAGGACTTTGAACCCCGAAACGGAGGAAAAGCCCCGCGGGCATACTCACATCCACAAAGGGGTCCCTGCCACTCAGGGTTTCTTCCACCTCGTGGGCTAATCACCCACCGGTTTGTACATACGTTAAACCCCCTTGGTCCGTTTATCTCAAGACCGGCGGGGTAAAGAAGATCCGTCGGCATTCTGAACTCGCAGAAATCCGCAAGTCAACCAAAAGATCCGCACGCCCGAGGSCCTCGGCCGCCKCGAYGGCTATCCGTGGGGGKTTTCAATCACTCCCCACCACAAGGAACCCGAACGGGCCCGCCGAAAGAGGCGCRCACTCAAGGTCCTCGACTGTCGTGACGGCCATTAGATCCGGCGTCTCGTCCAAATCAAAAGCCCGCCGGGGTATATATACAAAAAAAAATACAACGCTGAAGTAAAWTTATTTTAGAAAACGCCACCACCGTTCGKACSCCGCYATTGACGAAACYAAGGGGGATAGCTCCACAACCCTCAACCCCATCGGCTTCYTCCTCGATGCTCCGCTGTCGCTGCGTCAACRCCTGCCGGCCTCGATCCCCGAACCTTCGTAGTGTCAGTCCAATGTCGTAACCTATAGGGCTAAGCCCAAGCCTGAGACCAAACACGTCGGGTGCCATATAAGACGKTGCGACRCGRCGCTTTGGGCCAATWAAAYGGCWGCGCGGCTCTCAGTGCCCGCGCAGGTTCGCTTATACCGTGCCATAATTGCCCCGCGCGCCATCCTACGACACCCCGCTCACCGCACGAAAGTCGCGCCGTCGTTGCCGATGCCATCGTCGGGGTCGTTCTCTGCAAGCGCGTTCGACTCGGTCAAAAGTACCAATCAACAGAAAATATCCTTAATTCCTGCTTAATCGAAAATAAATAATAAATAATATTATCTAAGCAAAACGACCGAGGTCCGAGCCGACTCTTACGATCAACAACAGAAAAGAATCACGGGCGCCTTAAACCTGCGCGCTCACACACTCGCTATTGTGGTTAACCACCCAATCAACGCAGTTACAGACACAACCGAGCTTAGCGCGGTGTACTTAAACTTTAAGCCAAAACTGTTTTCTGTTACTTACAAAAAAAACAGGGCGGATACCCTTGTAAGGGTATTCGCGCCGACAACTTACCAGACCATATTAAGCGACGTCCCCGTCGCTTCGCCAAATCAGAAAGCTATAAATTCATCCGCACTCCCAATGCTGACGAAAGAGGAGCCAATCCGATTAGTCGACCAACATAGGGTAGAGGCCTCCATCAAACCATGCCTCCACAACTATATGCTGCCAGGTTTCTAACCCGGGCCTCTTACCGTCCAGATATTAGAACACTGACAGCATAAGTTCCAAAGACCTTTCCAATCGTCCTCTCCCTGGTCCTAGACAACCTTCGACTTTTCGTTGGGTGTCCCTAGTCCAGGCTAAAACTAGGGACGCGAGCCTTAACCGAGACCTTTGAAAGCACTATCGCCTTCTTTCTCAAAAACAATCCCTCACAATCAAATCTTCATAAGCATATAAAAATACTTAGTATCCACTCAACTCTTTCTGCAGTCTAGTACAGAAAGGCTAGATCTTCATCTTGGCCCACCATAGCCTTGCTGATCGGGTCAGGACTACGGCCCACCGCATTGTTATTTAACGGCAGTACCCCTCGTTGGTTACACAACGATAGGTTTCCTCCTGATAAGCATTTAATCAGGATTCCCCCAAAAATTATCAATCATCACTATCCCACAGAGTAATTTCACTGGGGTGGGCAACTCCCCTTAAACTCTTACCCCGCGGTCCCGCAGCCAGGTTGCGCCGGCTAGCAGCCATCCAATGGGGTTACGCCCTAGAGGTACTAACTTCTTTTCCGTTAGCTTGACCTTTCTTCAATATGTCTCAGAATCAGCACTAGTGGTTAGACGGGGCGTCGCAAAACAAAAACACTGGCCCACCGCGAGATACGCAGGGGTCCGAAAGCATTTACCAGCCCTCCTTCAATAGGCATGGCATCCTTCGTACGCTTACAAAGAAAATCACCGTTAATTCCACCAGGCCATGACCCCTGACTTGATCAGAGCCAGCAGCCACTCACCCTGAGACATCTCTCGCCGTGCACTCATTGCGACTTTTTCAAACATTCCAAAGAGTGACCCCTTTTCGTCAGACTTTATCACTCATCAGACAACTTACCATGTCATAAATCAGTTTACTCACCTCTGAAGGTGAGTCTCCCAACAACAAAAACATCCCCTTTTGCCAAAACTCCAAAGGGCTCTCATCATAAGCAAAACACCTCCTCTTCCAAAAATCGCGAGGGGTCTCGCCATAAAACAATACATTGCCTCTTCCAGAAATCACGAGGGTCTCATTATAAACCAAACACCCCCTCTCTCAAAGTCACGAGGGGTTTCGTTACATCACAAAACATCATAAAACATCCCCCCCTTTTTCAAAATCTAAGGGGGTCCCATCATAAAACAGAACATCACTTAGAGACCATCTTATGGGTCCTCACCACAACTTAGATAACTTTCACAAATGGACTGCGCTTCCTCCTCTTATACTCTGCCTTATCAAGTACCGTGGGCAGGTCGCACAAGTATACCGAGGAGTAGACAGTTTTACTTACAATCATATTCACAATACCCAAGATACATAAGAGGTTTTTCGCACATTGTTCACTCAAACTCATCATACATCAAAGTACAACCACACATGTGAGAGAGACAAGTGATCATCACATATAAGAATGGTCCCTGAAGGAAACCTCATCATAATATACACTCAGGGAGTACAATGTCTCATACAGAAAGTGTCTCCAAATCATAGCTTGCTCAACTCAAGCCACACCAAACCCACACTGACAACTACCCTTAGAATACATGTCAGATCTGTCTCTCAAAGGCCAGGGCGTAGGCCACCTAAATATATACATGCCTCATCTAAACCACCTTGACCCTAAAAACCCCAACTCAGTAGAAACACTAGAGTTCTGATCTAAATTAACAGCAATCATCAAAATGTCTTCTAAGTCTAAGAGGGTATCACACAGAACCTAAGTTGATGCCTCACAAAATGCTCGCTCACTTATATAAACAAAACCGGCACTATCTCCTCAACTCCTCTTGGTTTTGCCTATATAACTGAGCCCTAAGTCCATCTGCAGACTTTTCTACTATCTTGCCCTGTCTATCATACATTTTACCCCCTGCCTCTGAGACCTTCCCTACTGCCTTATCCTCAAGGAACTTGAGACAGTCCAGAGCCAGATGCATGCCCCTTTTGCAGTAGAAGCATAGCTGATCAATCTTCCTCTTGAACTTCTTCTTCTTGGGCTGTCGAGGTGGTGATGAAGGAGATCCCACCAAGGTACCGACACCCCCCTGCTGCTCTAATCGAGGAGCTGCGGTACTAACGATTTCCTGCTGCTCTATCCCCGGAACCGGTCCACTAGACCCAAATCCAGTAGCCCAAGATCCTAGTCTGCCTCTCAAATCCTCTGTCGCTGGGACGTACTCGGGCGTGTCCAACCTCTGAGGCCTCCTCTCGAGTGTCGTTTCTGGCACTGCCGTGGGCTGCTCCTCAATCTCCTCTGGTCCATACTCAGGTGTGCCTATCCTTTGGAGTCTGCTCTCGATGGTACTCTCTGCTTCAATCCCTATCTCTCTCTCAAGAGACTCCTCTATCCTCTGCTCAGGTGAAAACAAACTCACCTCCTTCTGCATAGTATGCACCGCCTCAAGGAGCACGCCCATGGATCCCTCTGCCGAGCCCTGAGCCGGCTCACTGCTAGATGGTGGCAACCCCTCCTCTATTGCCAAAGGTACGACTGGGCCTGCCGCCGCCACTGGCAGCGTCGCGAGCTCAGTAGGGGCTCTAAACTCGAACGCCTCTCTCTCTGCCTGTCTCTGGGCTCTAGCCTCCTCTGACTCCAGGATAACTCTCCCCATAGGTGGCTCCTGGCGAGGCTCTGCTGCAGATGGCTGTCCTGGCAATCCTTGTCCTGGCTGCCTCTGCTCTCCCTGCCTGCTGCTCTCTGGCATGTCCACCCTTCCTTGGGTTTGCTGCCTCAGACTCTCGATGATTGCTGCCTGGCTGGCCACCAAGGTCTTGAGTTCCTGAATTTCCATCTCCATAGCCTCCAGGCGTACTCCATGACTTGCTTCCTTCATCTTCTTCCTTGTTAGATCGCCCTCCAATAACAAGTGTCGGTCAAAAGTGGTCTTGGCCAGGAACTTGATTTTACGATCTAACCTCTCTTCCCGCTTCCTGGCCACCCCAAACCCGGCTCTTACTGGCGATGAAAGCTCGTCTCCTCTCTGCTCCCAGAAGTCTCTCCACATCTCAGGAATCTTCGGGGCCTTGGCTGGCGCGCTGGGTGGCTGACCCGGGAGTGCTCCTGCTGCCTCCGATCTCTGCCTCTCCTGTTGCTGCTCCGGGAGCTCCCCCGCTGCCTCCAACCTCTGTCTCTCCTGCCATATCTCATCTATCCGTCTAGTTCTTCTTGCCCTCTTTTCTTCAGTCGTCTCTCCAGCTGGCACCCTTTCCCTCATGCGGAGGTCGACCCTCTTTGGGATCTCTGCTTCCATCTCCTTCTTGGGCTGGCATAACTCTTGGCATGGCTCTGCAGGTGCTGGCTCCTCCAGGTCTGGGTGCTCCAGGGCATGAGCTGCTAGGTGCCTATCAACCAGGATCAAAGCTTCTCTCCTTACAGCTGGGGCCTTCTCTCTCTGCAACCCCTCCTTTGCCTGCCGGGTGCTCCCTGGTGCATCCCCGAGTCTCAAACCCACTGCTGGCGTCTGTGGGGGCGTGTCCTCTCCAACCTCTATCACTTCCTTCCTTGCACGTCTCCCCTCATCGCCCAGCCCTCTCTCTCGCTGAGTACCCCGAACCTCTTCCTGTGGTACCTCCTCCCGTGGCATCTCCTCTCGTGGTATCTCCCCCTGTGGCACCTCCTCTCGTGGCACTTCCTCTCATGACACCTCCTTTGCCTGCTCTCCATGCCCCTCACCTTGAAGCGACGCCCTCCACCGAGAAATATCTAAATGCATCTCCAATTCCCTCAAGGGCCCCTCTGACGCTGGTGGCTCCCCCTGTGTGTGTGCTGGCGACCTCCTCAATCCACCCTCAGTAAAACGATGGAACTCCACTGGCCCCAACCCACACTCAGGGTATGCCCCTCGCTCCTCATCCTCTGGCTCCTGCTCTCTCCTGGCTATGGCCTTCCGTCCTCCTTGAGATGGTCTCGCCTCCCTGGGCTCAGGGTCCCTCGGCCTCTGACTCCTCTGCCGCCTCTCGACTCTGGGCCGAGGGAGCTCTGGCCGTCGAAAGGCCTCTCTCAAATGTGCCCTGCTGCTTTCCCAATCTCGTGCCATGTCCCTGATCTGCATAGCCAGTGGCCTTTCCGCCTTCCTGGTTCAGAGTGGTAATGTCTGCATCCAATCATCTCTCTGTATGCCCTGCTCTTGCATGAACCACTCAAACGCGGGGATGAAGTCCGACGCATTTCCAATCTCCAGGCGGATCGGCCTGCCATCAGGTCCCACAGGCGAGGGTCGCAACTCCTCCATCCTCATCTCCACCTCCTGCCTCGTCGTCGCCTCCCTATGAATCCTGACAATGGGCTCTTCGAACCTACCTGCTCCCCTCAATCTCTCAATCGCCTGAGCGACGGTCCAGCCCACACGCCTTGCATGCTCCCAGAAACTGTCCAGGAATAGCTCAATGTCCCCATCATTGTAGACTGGAGTACTCTCTCGATGGCGAGGCCCATGCCGCTCATATCCTCCTGATGCGCCCAACGGCCTCTGAGGCGGCCGTGTCCCCTTCCCTCCTCTTGGCATGGCTGTCTTCGTAAAGTCAGACCTGCACAATAGGCGAAGGAGACAGCAGGCACACATTGAGATAAGCAAGCAGGTGATAATCAGAGCAAGCTCAGACCAGACCAAACTCATGCAGCATGCATCCTTCCTAATCTACACGCCCTGTTACTTCTATTCTAAAGGCAGTCAGGTCATCTCTCTTACCTCTTCTCTCGCCACAAATTTCTTCAGTCGCGTTCCAGATACCCAATCCTTCCACTCAGTCCCATTTAACTCCTCGATCTGGTACGCTCCGAAGTCTCCGACCCGTGCGATTCGGTAGGGACCTAACCATCTCTTATCGAGCTTCTTGGACCACTGCTTCTCCRGCGATGTATCGTAGAGAAGCACGACATCCCCGACTGCCAAGGGTACTTTCCTCACTCGTGCAGACTGATCCCATCGAGCCTTATCATCCATACGGCTTCTTGCCACCCGGTCAGACGCCTCCTGGATCCTTTCTTCTATTGCTCCTATCTGTCGCGCCCGAATATCGAGCAATTCTTCAAATAACAGGTTAACTTCTAGATCCTGGTGCCTCCATGTCTTAAGAAAGCTTTCGATGGGGAAGGTGGCATTCCTTCCGTACCACAGCGTCGCAGGTGCGTACTTGGTGGATCTCTTTACTATAATGTTCTCGACAAAGAAAGTCGCCCTTAGGTATCTTGGCCATTGATTAGGCATACCTTTGGTCCATTTGGCCAGGAGATTCGTAATGGTACTATGTCCTCTCTCTAAGGGAGCATTTGCCTGGGGGTGCGCGGCCGTGGTGTAGTTGGCTGCCATACCATACCTTGATAACAGTTCTTGCACCTCCTGGCAGGTAAACTCTGATCCCCTGTCCATTACGAATTCCCTGACGAAAGGATAACGCAGGTAGTATTCCTCGATGCAGCTCACCAGGGCAAACCCGGTCTTTGTGCGAATGGCACGCCCATCTACGAACCCAGACATGTTATCGCGCTCATCGAAGATATAGTTATAGCCTTGATCCCCAAGTGGCATAAAAAGTAGATCGAGATGCACTACAGCCCCCACCTCTCGCTCTAGCCTGGGATGCAGCGGCTCTCCTTGCCTTAAACGGGATCTTTCCTGGCAAGGTACGCAAGATCGCCAGAACTTTCCGACCATATCCATCATCCCATCCCAGTAGTACAGTTCACTTATCTTGGCATACGTGGCTTATACCCCTCGATGTCCTCCTGCAATACCATCGTGAAGCGCTGCTACGACGTCGATCTGACGATTCCTACCGCAGACGACTCTCCTGGGATTCCCCACTTCCCTTCTCACGAAAAGGTGACCGTCTCGCACTAAATAGTGCTGCAGCATCCTTTGAGCCCTATCGCTCGCATCTCTTAGCTGCATTTCACATGACAGAAGAAGCCCCAGCTCTAGGTAGATCCCGTCGTACTCCTCTGCACGAAAAGCTTCCTTAATTTCCCCTTCTTCGAACTCGTCGTCCTGGCTCTTGGGTATTTCGTCCACATTCCCTGCCGGGTTCAACGAGCCTGACTGGTCTAGGCTTTCCTGCAATAACGTATTGACGAGGAGATACATTCCTCCCATCAGGTCCTCATGCCGTTCTACCTGGCCAGGTCCTTCCTCAATCGTCCTCATACCCTCTACCAGGCTATGCGAGCTGGCCAGCGCTAATTCCATCATCCACTGAACATCGTCCGACTCTCAAATCGCAAGGGTTTTTCCTTTCCTTCCGTGTCTGCCTGTATTAGAACTTCCCCTAAGGCAGTCGGTCCCGCATCCGTTTCGACAATGAAGGGTCGCGTCTCTGTGGCGTCATAATCTGGCGCTCCTAACACCAAACCTCCTTCTCAAAATTCCTCCTTCATTTTTGCTACCACCTCTTCTTGTTCCTGACCCCATACCCATTCCTGATCCTGACGGACTAACTTCCTCAGGTTTTCAGTCTTAGCGGCAAAGTTCTTGACGAAGGCCCTCCAAAATCCACACGTACCAAGGAAGCTCCTGACATTAGTTATTGAGTGGAACGGAACTGGCCACTCAGTAATCTTGTCCGTCTTCTTCACATCCGGCCTTCGGCCCTTCTCATTGCAGATTATCCCCAAGATAGCCGCTTCCCTCATGCAATGTCTAGATTTAACCCCGCTTGCCGTGAGGTTATGCTTTTCGAGCAGGCTCAAGACCTTTTCGAGGTCCTGGATGTGTTTCCAGACAAAGCGCCTTACCCCTGGTGAGACTTCGTCGCTTTCTTTCGTCGCCGGCCCCTTTACTGCCAAATCGTCAATGTATGGCTGTGTCATATGGGGGCTGACTGACTGCATGACCCGAATCATGGCCCGTTGGACCATTGCTACTGCGTTGGTCCACCCTTGTGGGGCCACGTTCATGTGGACTAATCCTCACGGCGTGTGCATAACCATCACCGGCCTATCCGGCGGGTAGACTGGGAATTGATCGTATCCTGAATAAAGGTCTATAAGCGATATTATAGGCCTTCCAACACAGGATTCTGACAGCGCGTCTGCATTCGGCAATCCTCCAGCATCTCGCACGGTCACTGCATTCAGTCTTTGCAAATCCTGCACCCACCGCAGCGTCCCGTTAGGCTTAATGAAGCAGAACCACGGGGACGCATACGGTCCACTTGAATAGTCGGCGACGTGAGTACGTATCTTGCCGTCGAGATAATCCACCACCTTCCTTTCCTCGTCAGGATTGGGATATCGCGCCCCTCTCATGTTCCAAGGCTCGTGTGGCACGGTGTGAATGCGGATCATATGTATTTTATCGACATTTAGCCTGCCACGCTCCTCGTCACTAAACGCGTAGGCGCGATGCTTCCTCTTCATTAATTCCACCATCAACGTTCGCTCCTGAGGCAGCTGGAAATCAGACTCCCCTATGATCAACTCCTTCTCGTTCCCTTCGTTGATACGACATGACCCTGCTAAAACACTTTCCCTCATTCGTCGAATCAACCCTCGCTCCCTCTCGTAATATGCTTCCTTGTCCTCTATAACGAGGACGGGTACCGGGCGGCACTTCTTGTCTACCGTCTTGTACCGCCTTTGGGAACCCTGCTTGAGCCGTCCCCTAAAAAAGGCCGACTCACAGATTGTGTTTGCACTGATGCGGGGTTCCCTCCGCTGCCTGGGAGCCGATATACCAATTCCAACCTYCCTGCCTCAGGGCATTCCAGAACTTGTTCCCTCAGAGCCTGGATGGCATCCGGATCTGCCATCTCATGCGCGGCCACCAGGTCCATGGCCTTCCCAACATCTGACAGGCTGAGGGAAAATGCTTCCACCCTCTCTCCTGCTTCGGGCTCTGCCCAGAGCCTTCTGCACTCCCCTTCCGACTCTTCGATTGTGAATGATCCTGGATTAGGCCGGTTCCTTACACTCCTTGACCCGGTGTTCCTGCAAGTAATTATTTCATAATTCCCGCAGGCAGGATCACATAAGAGGAGGATCAACGTCCCATCATGTTTGTTGAACATCACGGTCTCTGTCCTGCTTAGGAATGACCTCCCCAGGAGGATTCCATGGTCCACGTCTGACATTATGAAGAAGCATGCCCTGGCCTTCACCTTTCCAACCTCGACGAGCACATTCGAGGCTGTCCCGCAAAATATGGCCTTACAGTTGGCTCCATGCAGAATACCGCAGTTAAAACGGTCTATATCCAGCCCGAATCTGATTGCGTCCACCTCCCGAATAATGTTCATCTCTGCCTCGGTGTCCACCATTGCTGCGCACTTGGAACCCTTCACCATCAAATCCACCATACTGTAGGCTACGCACTTCCAGTCCATCTTYGTACCTGACTCTGCCCACTCTGCCTCCTTGGGCAGGATCGTACCCAGATGGACATTGGGCACCAGGCGCCGTGATAACCTCCCCTTCAGTTCATCGCGGAGTCGCGGGACTGACGCTAGGATTTCCTTCAGGGTCATGAGGTCATTATGCCCTTCCAGCAGCCGGTCAATCACCTTCTCTACGTCAAATCCTTCTTCCAACCAGACCGCGTATTTCTTCTTTTTGGGCGGTCCGTCATGTATGACCGGTTCGGCCTCTCCCCTGGTCCCCTTTTTCCTTGCCCGCTGCTCCGCTCTCTAATCCTCTTCTCTGCGCAGCCTCTCATCCTCTTCCTCTTCATCATCATCG